AGGGCCTCCGTCGCCCACGCGGCGTCGAACGGGGCGAGGCGGTCCCCCGCGGCGAGCCCCAGGGCGGCCTCGACGACGGCCAAACGCCCCCGCCGGCGGGCCTCGCGCAGCAAAAGGCCGAAATTCCGCCGAAGTTCCGCCTTTTCGGCCCCCGCCCCGGCGCCGCTCGGGCGGCGGGACGGGGGGAGGAGAAACCGGCGAACCGCCTGCCGAAGATGGTCGGGGGTTTGGTAGGGCGAGAAGAGCGGCCGGAGGCCCTCGCAGGCCGCGCGGTAGGAGTCAAATAAACCACTCGGCGTCCGTCGCATGGGGGGTTCTCGCAACGGCGAAAAGACGCGTCAAAACGGACACTATTCAATAGATCTATCTCTATAGATATATAAGATATATGAGGTCTTTTGGGGGGGGGGTTAGAATGCGTCGCCCGTGACTGCGGGGAAGGAAGCCGAACGGGAAAGAGGGGCAAAAGGAATTGGACTCACGCTATGGGTGATGAAATAGGTGGACTGGGATCTCAAAAAGAGAAACCTAGAAAGAAAGAAAGGGATAAAATTAACATCGCGTGATATGTTGGGGCATACATATAAATATATATCCATATCGATAAATATAAAGAGAGAAAATGAAAGGAATCCACTTTGTGAGAGTGGTATCAAGACAGTACGTTTTATCCTAAACAGTAAAATAACATTCAATTAGGTTTGATAATATGCAGAAGCGTTCAAAAATAACAAAGAGATTGAACATCGAGGAATTTTGTTGGTTTATAAGGCATCGTAAACTACACCTAAACTAGAAAGAACGCAATAATAACAATTTCTCCTCTAATGTTTATAGATTCTAACTTCTATACCCTACATCTATACTCCTATACTAACCACTTTGGTACCATTGTAATCTGAAGATTTCCTCCGAATTCAAAATCCCAAAATACGCTCATAAACAGCCATGAAAAGGTGCTTCATATAAATATATATATATATATATATATATTTTTAATATTCTCACGAAAGCAACTTTCACTTAAAAAAAAAAGGAACGTGGATCACCATCAACCCGATCCTTTGATTGCCCATGGAATCCCAATGGCTCTCACTGACTCATCCTAAAATGTTTTCTTTATGTTCCTCATTCAACCCCCCCATTACTTTCCCGTTGGGGGTTTATTTATTTATTTTTCCCCCCTCGTCCTTTACTTGCAGGGCCACCAGAACTCATCAAAGGCGTTTGGGTAGGTATAGCGGTAGACGAATGTTTTGCGGTACTTCAGGTCGCGTCCGCGCGAGTCGGTGTGGATGCCGAGCTCCAGCTCGACGTTACGCCACTCCCGCGCGAAGCGCTTGACGCGATCGACGCGGGTCTCGCCGGGGATGCGCTTTTTCACGTGCGCATTGACGTCCTCGTGGACGGGATCCCACTCCGGGCTCGGGTGGCGGATGTACTTCGCCCGGCGCGAATCCCACAACGCCCCAACGCGGCCCTGGGCCGCCCAAACTCGGACAAGCCCCCGACGCTGCATGAGAACAAGGGGGGTCCACCGCCTGGCAAGGGATGTTTTTCGAGAGAATTCGCCCTGGGATGGGGGTGGAATGGGAGAATAGGAGCCAAAGGCGCACAAGACGAAGTAAACAATGGATCGATCGATGGAGAAAACGGGGTGCTGCGGGAGTACGTGGACGTGTTGGGCGGATTAGGCGTTGGGTTGGGAGGCGCTAGATCGTCACGCTTTTGCTCTAACGAGTGCAATGGGAGATGTTAAAAGATAGAATATGGGAAAAAAAAAGAAAAAGAATTACTATAAAAACAACCCCATAAACCAAAGTATGGTTTTGTTTTCAATGGGAATTCGGTGTGATTTCTCGTTATAGTTTTCATCGAAAATGTTCAGCTTTTGTAGTGCTCCATGCAGTATAGAAAAGTTTAGTACCCTTCAAATCCTAGGCAATATTACATGTAGATAAGTTTGCATTTATGTACAGAAGAATAAAAATACAACCTGAAAATAAAAAGAATATAGGTTTCTAAAACAAATTTGTTTGCATTATCAATCAAAATAAATTAAGTCCCTCTCACACAGACACACACAAAAAAAAACATACACACACATTCACGCACCAGACGTCATTACAAACGACATCGATGATGTGGTTCAAAAAAAAATAAAACGAGTTAATATAAACAAT